TTAAATTGTTGCTCATGAAAAATGAACGACTCCGTGGATCGGCTTGTCTAGTCGATAAGGGAGCTCGGGTGTGGGCCATAATAGATTCGACCCAAACCCGACCCACACCCATCCTTACACAACCCAACCCATATTCTTCTTCTTCATCATTGTTGTCGTCGTCATTGTCATCTCGCATTGCTCTTCATCTTTGTCTCTTCTTCGTCCCCAAAAGCCCCCTGCAAAACTCTTTCCTCCCAGCCACCAATGTCTACAATCACCGCTTATCACAATTGAGTACTCTAAAATCTTGAGCGAAAAAGTTTTGAACCTGTATAGTGAAAACGAAACTAATAAACGAGTAAAAATGACACGAGGAATTAAATTCCAGATCTTTGACTCCAATATTAGTTTGATATTAAGTACGCAACCATTTGTCCTAAAAGGTTAAGTTCTTAGAGTGCAGCGCGAAATACATTTACATCCAACTAATCTATTTACTCATCACGTTCCTTTTCTTGTTGTAGATGTGGCAGATGAGCGGTACTGAACTCACTCGATGAGTTTTGACATCCTTTTGTTTTTCTTTTGGTCAAAACATTTCAAATTTATCAAAATTCAATCATAGGTATTAAAGATATCTTGTTCTAAATTCTTTACCCCGATAGAAAGCAAAAAATGAATAAAGTAAAACAATTATTTTCATGCAAGTGTATTTTTATTGAGAATTGCAAAAGATAAATTTAGTACTTTTAGATTTGACTTTCCATAGTAACGAAAGACGACATCAAATGCTCAACTCCAAGTTGCATGAGGCTTGCTCGTGACTGGGCCAACTTGGTGCTTTGGCAAACAAGTCAAACATGAAAACTCGGCTGTGCAACCTCCGGGCCATACAATAATATATGTCATATTCCCAATACCCAATAACAGTTTATCACATCAGTTTTTGTTAATGGTGTTAGTACATTCGGCATTTCTCTTCTACAAAGGATATTCCGAGAAGAAATGAATAATTATGCAAATGGTCCGTAAATTTTGGCTCAATATATAATGTCGTCCCTGAACTTTTAATTTGTTTAATATGATCTATGAATTTTAGTTCAACGTGCAATGCCGTCTTTAAAATTTTAATTTATTTAATATGATCTCTAAATTTTTAGTAAATATTCAAAATTCATAAGACATGCCGAGAAGAAAGAAGGGCGGGCCGGCCAAAAGGCCAATATGGTCAAGCACCAGCACAACATCCAAGCATGATTTGGATCAGTAACTGCAATCATGAATGGTGCTGAAATTACTGGATTACTAGAACTAACACCAGATCATGACTGATCGATCTCAATCTCTTGTTTGGGATCATGACTTTCTAACCCTGGGGCTCAAGCACCTCTCTTTCTGGAGACACTGACCATTAGCAAGGAGGGACTCGATCAAAATGGCCTTGGATGAAGCAAAAGCAGCAATAGGGTTCTGCTAAAGTCTTCCAAGTCATGTCCTTTTCTTGACAACCCTGCATAGGCTACAGCACAAAAAAAATGGGTTTCTCTCTCTCACATCTTCTAAAATCCGAAAAAGGACAGACAAAGAATGATCATGACTCTGGCCTTCGTGCAATGTGACAAATCAAACCTGAATTATAGTCTCGGGTGCAGCATGTGGGGGACCCTGGTTTATTTCCAAGAATATTAGGAAAAAGATTGTGGTTGAGAATTATCATATAGTTAATATCTTTCTTCATTTTAAAGAAATTTAGGTTGGAAGCGAAAGTTCTAACTAGATGATTTGCTGGATAGAGTCGATAAAAGGAAATAGTCTGTCTTGGCTTGCCTCGACGAGCTTCTTATCTTATTCTCAACGCCGTCCCTTTTTCGGCACGGGCGCTCGACCTCAGCTCGAAGCACTCGAGACGATTGAATCTTATTTGACGAAAGAAATTACTGTCGAATTTTAGGGGTCGAATCGAGATTTGAACAAGTATGTTTGATATACGACAACAACAAAAAGTTTTGAGATAATTACACAAATAGTCCATGAAGTTTGGCCCAATGTGCAATGTGGTCCCTGAAATTTAATTTGTTCAATGTAGTCCTTGAATTTTAGCCTAATGTTCAATATGGTCCTTGAACTTTTAATTTGTTCAACGTGGCCCATTGACTTTTGGTACATATTCAAAATAGTCCCTGAATTATATGGAAATGTTCAATGTAGTCCCTATTAAAAGTTTATAAATTACATTGCATATTAGGTTAAAGTTCATGGACTGTATTGAACAAATTATAAGTTTAGGGACCACGTTGCATATTGAACCAAAATTTAGGGACTGTTTGTGTCATTTTTCCTAAAGTTTTCTATTGTCCTATCCATGAAGGACCCAGCAACAAGAATTTTGCTAAAAAAAACAATACCCAAAGAAAAGAAAAAAGGAAATTCTGACCAACTTGCATTTTGCAGACTGCATTTCTAATGCTATGTACAATAAATAATTACGCCTAGATTAGTTTTGCCTAAGCATAGATCTTCAATTGGAGAACATATAAAACATGTCTTGGAAAGTTTCTTAATTAGTCCAGCTAATTACGACAACGTTTGTCTCTGACGAGTCAACATGCAAAGCCTGCAATTCCACGTAACTGCGCACGGGTACCGAGGCATGCTAGTATGTAAAAAAAAAGAGAGAATTAAAAAAAGAAAAAGAATATGTAATAATGTTTTTTGCATGCTCTAAAGCTTCTAAAATAATGTGCGGACGATCCGGAGCAACTGTAACTGTATCCCATCGTATGGTTTGCAGAAAGAAAGATCATTTTCAATTGTCATTACTGTACTATTAACCCAATTCTTTATCCCCAGAGTAATTATTAAAAAAACAAAGGTTATTATCATGAAAAACTATAAATTAGTGCACCTCTGACAATTTTATCCAAAATTAATTTTTTTACCATAAAAAATCCAAAACTGATACATTTGTGACAAATTTAACCTATGTTAAATTGGATTAATACACAAAAAAGCCACATACTAGTATATCTATGTAAAATCTCAAACTGGTACATCTGTCAACTGCTATGTGTCATTTAACTTAGCAATTTGATAGTAAAATTTAACGGAAACTAACGGAGGGTAAAATTATCACAGGTATATCAGTTTGGGGTTTTAGGTTGTCAAAAAATTAGTTTAAGGTAAATTTAGCACATGCGTATCAAATTTAGAGTTTTTTTGTGATAATAACCTTATAAAGAAAACAACAAAAGAAAATAAGGCAAAAATCAGAAGAAGATAGTACTAGGAAATGCTCCAATTATGAGGACTCCATTGAGACAACCAAGACATGCATGATGACATCATTTTATCTTAATTTCAGCGTAAAAGGTTGAATCTTGTCTCGTGACTGAATTTGGCAATGCAGGTCGAATCTTGTCTCGTGAGGCAAAAAAAATCCAAAAAAATTTAAATTTTAAAAAAAAGGGAATGAAAAAGGTTGGTTTATACTGAATTATTTGAAGAATTGATTGATAATCCAGGCAATCTTTTCAAGAGGCCTACACAACACAACATAAGCACGCAGCTCACCACCTCAGAGAAATTGTTCTCTTATCGTACGCTTGAATTCTTGATTATGATGGCAATTATTGTCGAGAACTATTTGCTACTCCTTTTGGAATGGTGTTTGGCTATCAAAATTTGGCACGAGATACAGCAAAAATATGCAGATTAGACCTTGAAAAGTAGGGCAATGAAGATAAAAACAAATTGAACTGTGTTGCTGACATGACCAAAAATTTGGCACGAGATACAGCAAAGGTGCAAAGACCAGCTTATAATGATGCCATACATTGTCTTGATGGTAGGGCTGCGGAAAAGAAAAGAGAGCGAGAGACCTTGAAAGTTTGGATTGGCCCGATTGAACCCGTTCAATCAAACTCGCTCAAACTTCTCGAGTCCTGGTTAGATTGAGCGATCCCTTAAGCCTGATTCAAAATTTTAGTTCATGCCAGCCCCAGCGGCTCATGTGCAAATTAGCTCTTGGACAGTCAAACTTGATATTCCTTAGAGGTGAGCATGGTTCCAGGGTAGAATTGGGAACCTAAGAATTGGATCGGTGGGAACCGGTCGGGTTCCAGATTCTACGATATGCAGGGTATGTTTCATGTTCTAAAAAGTGGGGAACCTGTTCTACCGAACAAGTTCCAAGAACCTAGAACTTGGAACCTGGAACCTAGAACATAGAACTTGTAACAAGTCTCTGTGTTTTTCTTGTTCTATGTCTTCGCGCGATCGTGCGGCATTTTATGGTGTCTAATGATGAGTGTGTAATCTGAAACTACTATTATGAGCTTCAATTTCCAGCGATATCCATGACCGAGACTTTTAATTTGTTAATATTTCATATTCTTCACGTGTCTAAATATGGGTTGTAATATATGTGATGATTCACTGCAATCGTTCAATTAAGAGTATAGGTGGAACCAAAGTAAACCCTGAATTTGACATCGGAACCTGTGACATGGTAAGTTCCATATTCCTAGATATGCAAGATAGCTTTCGGGTTCCAAAAAGTAGGAAACCTGTTCCGACCAATATGTCACCTCTAATATTCCTTAACATCATTTCGTAACCAATTTTATAGATGGGTCTATATGCGTTCCAGCGTTACTCTTATATGTAATGTACGTTAAGCTTCAACAACTCAGAGCGCACGCCACGAGGGTTATGTGTCGTCGAGAATATGTTTATTAACTAGGCGCATTCTAATAAATCGAAACTAATTTTCACTACGGTGATCGACTCTGTTTACCACTCAAAGATCGATCGATAGGGCAAAGTCCGCACAACTTCTTTTTCTTCTTTTGGGGTGTTAGTGAAGAGAATGACGTCCCTTGTATTTTTTCCTACCAAAGCTTTCCCTTCCTCAATGGAAGCAACGGTCAGTACATTGTCGTTTAGCAGCAAAACAGAGCGGGACCGACTTGGCTTGGAATTTCCCAGGAGCAGTCACGAGGGAAAGTGCGATGCAACAAACAAAACGATGTTATAACACGCTCTGCAAGGACTCTGCACATCACTCCCCCTTCCTCTCCCTCTCTCTTATCCTCGTGTTACAACCATGTCTCTCCCTTCGCCTCCCCCGTCTCACGATCACGACCGGCCCGACCTCGAATTGATCCGCGCGGTCGTCGCCTCGGTGAATAAATTCATTCGGCAATTCCTGGCCGACGGCGCCTGTTCTTGGAGCAGCGTCAAGTCGACTTGCATTTCGATGCTCCAGGCCCAGAAGCACGAGTTCTTCGAGTTCTCGGACCACTCGGTGCTGTCTAATCTCTACTGGGGCATCGGCAACATCGAGGAGGCGATCTGGGCCGAGTGGCCCGGGGAGCGCGAGTCCCGGCTGAGGAGCTCGGAGGGGATGCTGCAAGTCCCGGCGTTGCTTGACGAGGAAGGCATGACTTCTGGGATAGCGAACCGCGATTTGATCGCCATCTCGTACTTTTACCTCTGTGTGGTCAAGAGGCTTCAGGGAGAAGATTGGCAGGTTGCTATGCATTTTCTTCAGGCGCTCTCGGTGTGTCCCGGGCTAGTCAGGAACGTGTTTGCACCGGAACTCTGCAAACTGCTCTTCCTGTCTGGGGTCGCACGGTCAAAAAGCAAGAAAACGGGTGGACATAGAAATTCCGGGCTGGTTCGCCTTGTCGACTCAAATGAAGAAGAAGCTCTTGAGCCGATGAAACAGATGGCCAGGAAGTTCAAAGGTTGGTTGATGTACTATCAGGTCATGCTTTATGGTGAGACCCCTCAGTGGGATTGTGGATCCAGAGAAGTTCTGTCTCTACAGGATGACACAAACCGTTTCACGTAAGTTCTCTTTTTTGCTTCCTCTTTTCAAATTCAATAACAGATTGGGGTCTTTCAATTAGTCGAAGATGTTGTGTGTCTGCAATTTGAGGATTACTTGACCCGAGAGAGAACTTTTCCTAAGTCGCGCATTAATTGAAACAGATATATGGTGCATTCACCCAAAACATTAGTGTTACATGTTACCGAACGTGAAATTGTTCGTATCATTGTCTATTTGTCGATTTCCAGTCAGAATCAGGACAAGTTTGATTGGAAAACGTGTGATTGTTGCTGATCCTTGTATTGGGATGTCAATATAAATAGGGACGAGCAGTCTGCACACATTGAATCTTCGTATTCGATTGGAAATGGACACGATTGGCTACACGACAGTGAGGTAAGCCCCGGAAAAATCTCTATCCATGTCCAATTAGTTTCTATCTGATTCTGCTGAGTCATTGGAGAAAAGAAGACCATGTCATCCATCCTTATGAAATAAACACAATGTTGGACACTAAGCATGATCTAATGAAAATACATACTCAGTTCTTTCTTTTAACTTCATGGTTCCGGATCATACCTTTCTGATGTTACAAAAAATCGATACAGTTTCAGAAAGTGCATCCGCTTTATCCTGAGAAAGACTCTAGGGATGACACAATGTGCAGCAATGGTGCAGCATTTGCAAATTGTGCGGAAGACTGTAGGCATTTAGGAAAAGCGCCAAAATCTCACGTCTACAAGGGAGAAATTAAAGAAAACGAAAGCAGCAGATGTCTTCAGGACATGCTGGAGGAACCCCAGTCAGATTCATCAACTTCCGCGAACTCGATACAAGGTGATTCCGCCAATGAAGGTGACACGGAGGTAATTCAAAGGTTATCACTGCCATCTTCAGTACCGTTATATTCTGCTAAATGATTTTATTCATGTGACTGAAAATGAGAGAAACTCACAGCGAAACCATCATCATTGATCAGGAAGCTAAATTGGATATCGAGAGCTCAATTAGAAGGATGAGAATTGATGTGGAACTGCAAGAAATAGACACTTATTGTAGGTCAGTTTGTCACAGTCAAATTTTAACCTAAATTCTCAGTGTCAGTTACACAAGCTGAATTTTTTTCAAGAAATATGAATGGCATGTGTGTTGTATAGGAAGCAGCAAAGTCCATGCTCTACTTCAGAGCCGGAGTGCAAAGCAATATGCACGGCAGGTCTTCCCCATCCTCCTCGACATCGAAGATGCAGGGGGCCCGCGGAAGCAAACATCGCTAGGATCTTCGCCGAAACATTACCCGATTCCTTTGGTGAATTTAATGAATCCCTCTTGGAGCTCAGAGACAGAAAGCAGAACAATAATGCCTGTTGGAATCTTCATATGGATGAGTTGAAGACATCCGAGCAACATGATCACCAGCTCTTCAATCAAATAACGGCCACGTCGCAGAGGAATCATAGGGTTGCACGCAAAAGTCCCCAAAAGTCTCTTGCTCGGAAAGAAAACAAATCGCGTGTGCAGAATAAATTGATAAAAGAAGGTTCGTATTCAGAGAAACCTTCCCATCGTGACCTGATGGGGGTATTTGAGAAGGCAGTCTCGCAACTATGTTTCTCGGAAGGATTGAGGAAACTCAATGAAGAAAACATCGTCGAGATCATGGCGATATACGAGACTCTGAATGACAAGAACGGAGTTAAGCACGCAGCACTGAAAGACGTGCTTCTGGATCAGCTGCTAAAAGCTATCTCAACTTCCAAAGAGGAGAGGGTGATTCGAATGTCGGTTTCTGTCTTGACCACTATCGCTTTAAGCAACCAGTCGGTTTTAGGCGACATAAGAAAGAAGGGTCTTCAATTGTGTGACTTGGCGAGTGCTCTGAAAAGAAATGTGCATGAGGCGGCAATTTTGATTTATCTGATCAATCCATCTCCTACAGAAATCAAGACTCTGGAATTGCTGCCTAATCTTGTGGAGATAGTATGCACTTGGAGCAGTTATAAGCTCAAGCGGACATCTGTCTTGTTGACGCCTCCGATGGCATCGCTCATGATCATTGAAATGTTGGTCACCGCATTTGACAATACCACCAACAGCGCACACCTGGCAGCCCTCAACTCTCCCAAAGTCCTTCACGGGCTACTAGATGTGGCAAGAGACTCAGGTGCTGAAGAATCCATCTCTCTGGCTAGAATCATTGTGAAATGCATGCAGTTCGATGGGCAATGCAGAGCCTATGTCTCCCTATCTACACCTATTTCTCCATTTATTAGCCTTCTTCAGAACAACAAGAGGTGTGCCAAGTTCATCGCACTGGAATTCTTTCATGAAATCCTTTGCATGCCAAGGTATGAATGAAACATATTGATTGTACCAAACAAAGAACTGCATTAATTGCAGAGTCAATAAAGAAAATTTCAGGTCAATTTCCAGTAAGAAAAAAGATTAAATGATGAAAACTCTTGCTATCCAGTGTTTTGAAAACCATACTGGAGATCAAACCGGTAAGTACCACACAAGAAACTGCACCCAAACCCGGTTCAACTGTCCCAGAAAAGTTCCATAATCACATTCTTCCTTCTGGCAGGTCAGCAGCTAACAGTCTACTGCAACGGATAAGGAATGAAGGAGGTGCCGACATCATGAACATGCTGATGCTCTGTGTCCAAAACTTGCAGTCTCATCATCAGCTCTTCGCTGCAAATTTGTTGCTTCAATTGGACACATTGGTAGAGTTTCGATCTTGAAATAGATAAATCTGCACACCATTTCTCTAGGAACTACATCAGGCCAACATTTTCTTCCTTTAGATAATTGATCAAACATAATTATCAATCATGAGAAATTGTGCAGTTAACATAAATATCAGGGCACTGGCTCTCTAAAGAAGCTTTTTGTGTGATGAACTTGTGCAGGAGAACCAAGCTGGCAGTAGCATGTTTGTTGAAGAGGCCATGAAGGTCCTCCTTGAGTCGCTGACACCCAAAGAAGACCCTAAGATGCATCAACTATCGGCATTCATCCTAGCGAACCTCGGAGGAACTTATTCTTGGACTGGGGAACCATACACAGTGGCTTGGTTGGTAAGAAAGGCTGGGTTGGCCTCTGTGCACCACCGAAATATGATCAAGGACTTTGATTGGGAAGATCAAGGACTGCTGGTATAGCATAATAAAATCTTCTTAATATTCTGTCATTTCCAAGTGATTCCAATTGTTATATTGTATTTTCATTCTAACTATTGCAATACAGGATTCAGAAACTGATTCATGGTGTGGCAAAATTGCAAGAAGCATAATCAAGATTGGGAATCCTGTCTTCCGAGCTCTTGAGACGGGCTTGAAGAGCAAGATGAAGAGGGTGTCTCGAGACTCTCTCACCGCGATCACGTGGCTCGGGTGCGAAATCGCCAAAAGTGCGCATACTCAGAGATACGTTGCGTGCGAGATCTTGCTGGGTGGGCTAGAGCAATTCCTGCATCCTGGGGTGGACCTTGAAGAGAGGCTTCTAGCTTGCTTTTCCATATACAACTATGCCTCTGGTAAAGGTAATAAGAGATCTCACGTTGAGGTTTATAATCATTTTCTGATGTGATTCAACCGATTCATATGATTTGAGATAAATGGCTTCATAATTTATCTTATTTCATAATTTCGATTGTAGTCCTCGAACTCTCTATTCCCTAGGGCACGAAAAACACATGCCGAGCTTGTATGAGACATGAACTCAAGAGTGCAATTTAGTACTCGTGCACTTATGAATTTCATCAGCAGGAATGCAGAAACTCATCCATTTCTCAGAAGGGGTGCGGGAATCGCTGAGGCGCTTTTCAAACATCACTTGGATGGCAGAGGAACTGCATAGAGTAGCCGATTTCTATCTACCGAACAAATCGGTCAGTAGCTAATCATATCATACTCCAAAACAATTTGAATACATTGCATCTCCTTGGCTCTCTAAAATAGCCGTTACACCGATGAAAGCAGCGCATATCCTGCGTCCACACACAAATTCTCGAGGCTGGTCATAGCAGTAGCGGAGCGGTAAATGCTCTTATTTACTACAAGGGACTTCTCTGCAGCGGACATTCAGACGGGTCGATAAAGGTTATCTTTTTTTCCTTGAAACACAGTACCATCAGCGTCAGTCCTTTGCAAACATGTTAGAAATTATCCAAAAGTTGGATTTGAAACCTCATACCATCAATAAAGAAAGCATCACGGGAATTTCATGAATCAAGGTCCTCGAAATTTAGAATAAAACATTTCAGCTATGAGAAACTAATTAAGGCAGGTCATTTCATACAACAGATGTGGAACATCAAGGGGCACTCTGCGACACTTGTGTGGGACAAGAGGCAGCACAAGAAGGAAGTGACTTGTTTTTCGCTCCTCAAGCAAGGGGAAAGCCTTTTGAGTGGATCTGCTGACAAGACAATCAGGGTATAATGTGATGAGTCTTTTCAATTTAAAGCCAACCTTTTTCATCACATGTACAAGATTTACGTTGGTAAACCTGTCTTATATTGGTAGGTCTGGAAACTGGTCCAAGGGAAACTGGAATGCTCAGAAGTGATAGCTTTAAAGGATCCCATCCGGAGAATGGACACTCTCGGAGATGCGATTTTCGCAATCATACCGGGCCATGGGATTAAGGTAACGTCCAATCTATCGTCATATAAGGATAACCACAAACAGAAGCCATTTAGCAAAAGGAAGACATTGAAGAATTTGCAGCTTTTGGAGGAACATATTTAATTCGAGAACTCATTTTCCAGGTTATTGATGCATCAAGAACAGTCAAAGAAGTTTGCAAGAGTAAAAATGTGAAGTCCATATGCGTAATCCAGGGAAAGATTTATGCCGGCTGCAAGGACTCGAGTGTACAGGTCGGTTTCCCTGGATCTAGAAATAAGTTCAAAACAACTCCTAGTGATAAAACTGCGCTGCTAATTGATGTTGTTCATGTTGTACTCTCAGGAAATAATTCTAGCGAACAACAGAGAACGAGAGATCAAAGCACCGTTGAAGAGCTGGATGATGCAAAAGCAGCCCATCAATTCAATTGTCAGCTACAAAGACTGGATGTACACTGCAAGTATGGTGGTCCATGGGTCGAACGTTAAGGTGAGGACATAAGTGCGATTTGCGTGTTTGCGCTAGAAAAACCTTGGAATGACTAGAGAAAACCATGCCAGGAATGGAGAAGAAACTGTGAAGCCGAGATGAGAATAGCGGTGCAGAGAGGAGCGAATGTGCTCGCCATGGGAGTGGTTGAAGACTTCATATACCTTAATTGCAGCTCATCAGCCAGTGCCCTACAGGTTGATCCAATCTTCCTCCATTTAAAGTAAAAAAGGGAAGGAGTAATACCGATGCATCCAAGAATAAATGCAATGATCACACGCACTATCTAGCAAGTTGCCTATAATTTATAATTAAAATTAAGCACATCACAAGTACAAATTTTCACTGATCAGATAAACTATGAGACTGACTGGTACGACTGAATGTGTCTTCATGTATTCTCTGCTCTCTGCTTTCTGCGTAAGATTGACTGATTATGCAAACTAATGAAAGCAGATATGGTTGAGAGGGACAGCGCAGAAAGTGGGGAGGATTTCGGCTGGAGGGAAGATAACGAGCCTTTTGACCGCGAATGACGTTGTCATCTGCGGTACGGAGGCAGGGCTTATTAAGGTTAGTGTGCAGTGAATTCTTCTTCATTAATTCGTCTTCATGACTGTGATCGGAGTCAAACATTCTAGTTCATGGTATGGTATGTTGACTGATGCGATGACACATGAACAGGGATGGATACCTCTGTGATTGCTGCTGCAACTTGGCTGGCATTGTCCTTTTTCTGGTGTAGTGCCCGGCAGAGGGTCATCAGCAACGGTAAACGATTATTGGCGCGGTGCGGCGCTACGGATTCTCTTTGTGGTGTAAAAAGCAAAGTGTACAAAGTCAAATGGAGGAAAGTACATACCATATAGATAGATTACCATTAGTAGTTTTCTGTACCTTTAAAAGAAATTCATTGTGATGATGAGGAGCTCTATGATGCCAAAATGGTTCTTTTTTCCTTCTTTGATTCAGTTGAGCAACTGAGGAGATCATGTTTTGCAAGAAATGAAATGTAAAACTTACCTCATATTGTGAACAAAGGTAAACATATTGTATGTGACTAGCGATACAAATTAGAGGATACAAGGAGAAGAAGGATGTTGATCATGGATGGCTTTGAAATATGTGATTGATCGGTGCAACAAGTAGCAGAAAAAATGTTCTTGAAATTTAGGTGGTGTGCAAGAATAGTAACTCAACTTCCACAAGAAATGAGGACATGAACGATGAGTATCTCTCTCTTTGAAAGAGCTTTCTCTCTGCGGACTATGGAGGTTGCTCATCTTAACTCCTTAAACCCTGCTCACCCCCCATAAACCCTAATCCTCTATTCTCTCCGCTGCCCCCTCTGGTTTCTTTCCTCGTTGCCTCCTCCACAAATCCTACCCAATCTTTTCTCTCCATTTTCCCTCTGCAACCTTTCCTTCTGCCTTCCATTGGTCGTTTCTCAGAATGGCGAATGATTAATCCATGCAAGACCGTTTGGCACTGCAGTGCCGAATACTGGGTCGACTTTCATCTGAAGATGACCTTGCGGTAATGGATGGTGTGGTTTCTACGTACAAAATCAGAGAGTGCAAGTCCATGGACTACCTTTTAAATTTTTTTTCTGATGAAGCAGTACGAAGAGCAGCCACCAAAGCAGGAGAAATTCTAATAAGAAAATTGAATAAGCAACACAATCCTCATACAGACATGGCAGGGCAATGATAATTTGGATCTTTTGAGACTTCTTAAAGCAGGTTACCCTGACTAGCAAAGAAGGAAAAGTATTGTGGGTGGATTTTAAGTACTGAAAGTTTGCCCCATTTTTGTTATTGCTTCGGAAAAAATTGGTCACTATGCTATACATTGTGAAGACATTGCCTTCAATGAAGCCCAAATTGCCGCTGAGAATGTGGGTTGATTTGGGCAATAGCTAAAGGCAGGAGCCCCGATTCGAAGCCCTTCCTGGATGCTATTCTATGAGAAACAAGCCCGCTCAGTTGCGGAAGAAGAACCCGGTTCGAGGAACTCCTCCTAACGCAATGCACATTGTCCCTTATGGTCTTGAGTAAACCAGATGATGGGAGGGAATGAAGGACTGATTTGAAAGAAAAATCTGATGAGCAGAGAGGAAAAGCATACGATGAATGTTAACTCTATTCCTTCTGATGTTTCATAGAACAGGGTCGTGGCCAACTCTAAACTTAGACAGAGTTAGTGACAACTTTTCTCCGGGGGATGGGGCAAATATCCCTCCAGTGTCTCCCTTGACGAAGAAAGCTGTTGACAACAAAAGGCGAGTTCCTATGAAGATCAGACGCTATGAGCGATGTGGGGTTAAGTCATCAGGATATGTGAGATGCATCTCCTGGAGACTCATGTTGTTGCTTCTACCGACTTGATTGAATGAGCTCGAATGGCTAGGAGCCTAGGACTGATAATCTTTCAAGTGACGCATGAAGATTTATGTTTGAATTGTCGTCAGCCGGTCCTTCAGTGTCAGCAAATCGCGGATATTTTGAACTAGTATTGCTATGCCCCTGTTAGGGAACTGACACCAACAAAGCAGATGACTTTTCTTATTAAGGGCTAGGCAAATTTAGCAATTGAGTTGCCGGTGCCAGTAATCACATTTCCAATGTTTTTTTTTTTTTTTTGGTAATCCAGGGAACCTCCACACGGCCGACAGCCGGGAGGTAAATCCTGGGGGCGACACGTGCTAGCCACCACACACGTGCACCGGTTAAGTCACCCTGCGACGCCCGGGATTCGAACACCCAACCTTTTGCGAGAGGAAGAGTGCCCTTTCCAGCAGCGCCACCCAGGCGGGTGGTCTCATTTCCAATGTTCTTCTCTTCAGCTTCTGAAAAACAAAATGGAGGCACCAAAACGACCCGCAAAATCCATTACATAAACAGGCCAAACTTGCCGAATAAGAAGGTTGAGTAAATCCGCCGGCATCAAGTCCGAGGGCCAAAGACAATTCTAGTTTCTGAACTTTGATCCGGTATGTACTGTCTATCATTATCGAACTTTCAATTGGTCCATGAACTTCTGTCTAATGTCCAAAGTGAATGTCGTCCTTGAAAGTTTAACCGATTTGAATTGAGTCTTCCAACTTTTGTTTGACGTTAAACGTCATCTTATAGAAAACCAGTGTCCATAAAATTAGCAAGCACTAATATGTTGAAACTGAAGTAATATGGAAAAAACTGTATGCGTGAATTTCGTAAGCGTAATATTCACTTGAAATCGCAATACACTGTACTCATCCCTTTCCCACGGGAGCTTCACTCACTTTTAACATGTAACTTCCGAGGGATGAAAGATCCATATTCTTGTGCAGATAAAGTATAACATAAAAAACCTTGGTTAAAAAAGCTTGAGAAAAAAAAATGGCATTGTTTATATTGAATTAAAAATCTTGCCTTGATTTAGAAAATTTTTATGAAGGATAGATGTTGAACATTTCAGTATAATTCAGACGTGTAATCAAATCGAGATAAAGTTCGAAAATGATATTTCATAGAAAAGAAAAGTCTTGAAATCTAATCAAAGCAACTTAAAGTTCGGGATTGCAGGGTTGTTGTCCTAAAGTCTAGCGAGGGCATGCACGTCGGGATCCTGCTCCCTCCGGAAGGTCCCGACGGGCCGACCGAGCCGGTAGTGCGTTGTGCTGCGGACTGTAACGGGCGGTGCCGATCGGCCCCTTTGTCAAGTTGGCCAGCATGGCCCAACATGGGACGGGTGGTGTGGTGCCCGAGAGCTCCCGAAACTCTTTTTTTTTTTTTTTTTTTACCTTCGACTCATCATTAGCCCGATGGTTATTAAACATTGAGTTATCATCGTCATTCATGGTCCCAAAAGATTTTTTTACAAAAAAGATTTTTACAAAAAAATGGCCCGACCCGGTCCATAGCATCCCGGGCCGGGTCAATTCCTCGGCCCGGCACGGCCCGTCTGGCATGCGGACCGTCCCCGTCAAATTCACGCTCAGACCGGACAACACGTCTCGTCGCGCGCGCACAACCCCGAATCGGAGTTTTGTCGTGGAACGCAAGTGTCGTGTCGTGGCCGCGGTACCAAACCGAAGCTCCTCTCTCTCTTCTCTCTCTCTCTCTCTCTCTCTCCTCTCTCGACACGACACTCATCGGCACGGCGAGAGCGAGCGAGCGAAGACGCAGCAATGGCGGAATCCAGAGGCACCTGGGACTCCGTGAGGGAATGGATCGTCGAGCACAAGCTCCGTGCCGTCGGTAAATTCTCGGGTTCCTCCGTTCTTGGCTTTTTTTTTGGCTCGTTCGTTTCCTCTGGTCGAATCTGGAGCTGTTTCTTGCGCCGGCGCCGGATTCGTTTCGCTCTCGTTCGTTTTTTTCGATTTCTTTTCTTTCTTTTGATGATGAATTCTTGGGGGGGAATTCCAAGGTTGCCTGTGGCTGAGTGGAATCACGGGTTCGATCGCCTACAATTGGTCGCAGCCCAACATGAAGACCAGCGTCAAGATCATTCACGCCAGGTACCCTATTCTTTTTGACAATTTGTTGGTCGGAATATGGGTTTCGGAATCCATTTTTCGCTGTAATTTAGCTTCTTGCTGATTGATTGCTCAGCTCTGATTGAAGAATTTCGTCCCTTTTGTTAATTTTTGGTGGGTATTTCTGTTCACTTTGAGATTTAGAATCTTGGTTGGGCTTGAGATTATTGCTTTCGCTTGTTGAACTAGGGGAGAAACTTGGCTTGGGTTGCTGAGTTTCCAAATGTGCTGAAGTGATCTGATTCTGATTGTTGGCCCATTTACCTGGGGGAGTTCTCTCTAAGCTCACTCTTCATGTGTGGAGTGGAGGTGTATTGATTACTTATCTTATGCTACGTTCTGGAAGCACCACGACCACAATCGCGATGTGTCTGGAATGATTCATAAAATGCGATGTGTCGGCGATTTGCACTACAGTTTGTTTCTTTTTTCGTCCATTGGTTGGTGATCTTATTTCTCGGCTTTATTTTATGGTCTTACAGAGAAGAATAGAAGTGCACAATGAGTGTCAACCTTCGAGTCAATATTTCATAGTTTCCTTTGTGACGGGGGCAGAGAGTTAGGTAGATTGCATCAGAGGATATATAATGGGTTCATTGATTTGTCTGTAGAATCCTCAGGGTATCAAATCGTGTTCCGTAATTTCTGATATCGGGAAGTGCTGTGATTGTTTTCTCCAGATGAAATTCATGGGTTGACATTATCAACCTTTAAGCCATCCAGATATTGGATTTCACTTTTTAGTTTAGATTTCTTCAGTTATTCACGACAGAAGCTATGTATAGTTTTTGTTGGAACCCATTGCCCATTGACCTGAAACCTGCATTTTGTTAATTGTTCACTGCTAATGTCAACGTAACATAATGGGCAAAGACAATTACAATAACATTGTGCTGAACTGTTTGCTTGTTAAGTTTATGTTGTGACCCAACAACGACAAAAGGTGGTAACCGAAGAATTAGAAGGGAGAGAGAAAGAGGAGACGAGAGAATCAGAGAGATTGGATGTGAAGCTAAAGGAGAGAATCAGTGGAGGGAAAGAGGAGAATAAGGTGGGGAAAGAGTTTATTTGGTTAATTCATAGTTGGATCACAATGGAAACGAAGAGGTGCTTATGTGCTCTTCAATACGGTATGCCTCACATGCCCCTCATGTGGCAATTACATAGAAATTATCTAATTGATATGAAATATCCTAACCATCTAAACTTCAATAATTTCTCCTCTTAATGGCGTTCACTACAATGCCATCACCCATAACACCTTGGGTCGTGACAATTCTTTAGTGTTTGAATTGAAATTGTAAATGAAGCAGATCTGTTCATCCTCCGGATTTACCTTTATTGGAAGGTTTTGCAGAGAGTATGTGATACACACACGCACAGATCATTGCTTGCCATTTTTCATGGAGTACACAGATAACTAGCTAGTACCTGAGGTTTTGAATTTGGTTATCCACCGTTTTGTTTGATCTTATCTAGCACTAAACTTAGTTTATCTCAATTTGATCGGCCAACTTCATGAGGTGTGTCATTGTGGTACCTGACGGTATATTCCTTCTCAATATAACAAGGATGACACACACACATGCAGATCATTGCTTGGCATTTCTCATGGAGTACACAAATAACTAGCTAGTACCTGAGGTTTTGAATTTGGTCATCCACCGTTTTGTTTGACCTTATCTAGCCACAGAACTTAGTTTATCTCAATTTGATCGGCCAACTTCATGAGGTGTATCAATGTGGTACCTGACGGTTTATTCCTTCTCAAAATAGTAAGGACAACATCGATCAATGACTAGAGGGCAATAGAAGGGCTCAAGTTGCAAAACTTTAATCTAATTACCACATAGGAGGCGATCATTTGTTAAATAAACTCCAGCCCGTGAGATGGCCTTTCCACAACACCTGGCAATGGAGTGGTTCTAATAGAAATGTCTTCATTATTGTGCCACTTTGCATCAAATGTGGATGAAGAGATGATGAGTTGTTTACTCTTTGTAAGAAACTGGTAACCGACCCCTTATCCAAAGAAAGAAAATAAATTGATAATAACCCGTTCTAGCTCTGAATATTCTTTTATAGTTTGAATATATCTACCTGTAGCTCACTTTGTTGTCTAGTGAGGACTGCAAGATGTTTTGAGTACTGATATATCTTGAACATGCAGGCTGCATGCTCAGGCACTCACCCTTGCTGCTTTGGCGGGCGCTGCGGTAGTGGAGTACTACGACCACCAGACAGGAAAGAAGGCCGACCGCTACGCCAAGTTCCTCAACTTCGATGAGCACCAGCAGAAAGATTGAAGTTAAGGTTCTACTAGCCACGAGATCTATACAGTACTAGGTCATTTTGTCATAATCCCCTGGAGAGTGGCGACCATGTTTCTCCGAGGCATCATTGCTAAACATTGATCTAATTGGAAGCATTTGTGCATCTTTTCTATCCATTAACGATGTATGGTTGTATCAAATTGTTCTATTATGTCTTGTTATTTTTTTGGTTCTTCCTGTATAATCCTATCGAATCAGACTTTAGGAGGACCAGGTAATTTTTTGAAACCTTTGATAGAATATGGCGACCTTTACTGGGAAGAGAATGATTACAAATTGTTAAAAACTTATAGATGAACTAAACTAATAGGCAGTTTTATCGGAATGTGGCCATTTACTGATTTCCCAATTCCTGCGTTTTTTTCCTTTTTTGTCTCAAGGTGTGGACATGCTTATTTGAAATATAAGGTTTTAGATGAGCCATGGGCTTTGTCCATTCTTTTTTTTCCTTCTCTTGGGGACTCTAGAAATTCATTGGGGGTAGTTTTGAAATTTACACGCTTGTATTCTAGAAGCTTTTCACTGCTTTTCAACCTTAGATGAGATTGTAAATCATCGATCGTAAAGAGGGGATCATGTATATATAGGAATGCATTCTTCCTTATTTGTATCCATTCAAGTATTGAGCAATACAAGCATCTTTGAGAAATTATCTCTTTAAATACTCTCTCTAAAGTTCCATTCCTTAAGAACATTGGTGTGAATGAAATTAACAAAAAATAAAAAAAGTATTGTCAGAAGATGAAACTAAGGCCAGGTCAACGCTAGATGGCTCTAGACCTCTTTCACCTTGTCTATGTATATACAACTTCCCCTCTTTTAGTACAACCATCCTTTAGCAGCGTGGAATTTGTCTTTTCATGCCAAAAATCTTTAAATTTGAATTTAAAGACCTTTGTAATATCATTCAATTAGCTTTGACTCTCAAAATCTCATTTGCTATTCTCCGTTCAAAATAGGGTTGGGCAACATAATTCAATCAGACTCTTAGTCTCAAAATTTCACTGTTTTTTCTCCGTTGAAATAGACCATCATTCGACCTATTCAAACCTCTCACCTTCCCTTCTTCCTCCTCTATTATCTTCCTCCCTCATTCTTTCGGTCCATTTTGTTAACACCTAAATTTCTGCCGATTAGCTAAACATGCATTTTTGTATACAAATAAAATAAAATACTAAAAGAAGAAGAACACAAAATAATATAATTAATAATGAATGAAGGATAGAATAACCAACAGAAATACAAGTAAAGAAAAAGAGAAAATAAAAAAAATAAAGCCTTGGCCTATCCAGTTTGGTCCATTAGACCTCAGCCTATCCATTAACTTAAGCCCATAAAATGCTAAGTCTAGCCCATTTAATTTGGTTCAAGAGGCCCTTAGACTTCAGCCCACAGCCGAGGTTCATCTCCCCCCTCTCTCTCTTTCACTAGGGGTGTTCAACCGGATCGGGTTTATCCGGAAACCGGACCGGACCACCAGAAAAACAGGTTCGGGAACCGGTTCTTGTTTGAACTGGTCCGAGAACCGGTTCCATTTTTTGGGAACCGGTTGGAACTAGTTTGGTTCCCGGTTCCAAGTGAAGACTCACTCGGACCGATTTTGGAACCGGTTTTTATCTTGTGTTAAAAAAAAAATCTGTAGATCATACTAATACTATATTTTGGATTATGCTTTTGGTGGATAGTAATTTTTATTACTCATCTTAGGAATTGTTGCTTTTGGCGGATAGTGATTTTATTATTCATCTTTTACTTTGAATCGTTTTATTGCTACTTATATTATTTTGCTGGAAAAAAATGAAACTAGAAAAAGGAACAAAAGAAAAACAGGTTATCGGGTAGACCCTAAAATCGGACCGAAAAAACAGGATAAGTTCTAAAATAGGTTCCGAGACAAATAGGGTAGGTTATAGGTTCCAAAAACTAGGAACCGGTTATAACAGGGTAGGTTCCATATACCCTGGAACCGATCACCCCTATCTTTCACTCGCCGAACAATCAAAGAGCAATATCAGAAGAGAAGGTAATGTATGTATTTGCCGACGGGCACAAGTATCTAAAACAGAAGGCAAATGAATGATGAACCATCAAGAGGACAAAAAGGCAAAGCTTAAACATTATTAAAGTTATGTAATATATATATTAGTAAAGTGCAACAGCTTTACTTTTTCGACAACAAAACCCAAAGCACGGACAAGTTTTACTGGTCAATAAAACACATTTCTCCACATGAAGAGCAATCCACGAATGATTGGAAATGTGATCGATCATTTCTGTCTCAAGGCTCGACGTTCAAGCTTCATTGACATACAAACAACTTGTTACAAGCTTGGATCATATACTATACGCTTCATCCAGACGTAAGAAGATCAATAAAGCAGAAGGTCCGGCCCAATTGAACTTGTGCAATCTCAATAAGAAGATCAATAAAGGAGGAGAAAACTTCATCAACTTGATCTCTTAGCCACAGAATGGGAAAAAAAGGGTCAAATAAGTCAGAACATGCGAAAAGAAAGAAAAGATACATCGATCTCATCCAAAATTCGATGGCTAAGATCAATTATGCGAGTATAATTACACAAATACTTTTGTTTGTTGAGTAGTGTAAGTCTAGGATAGTCCCACGATTATATTTTTGAAAAATTATGTAGTTTTCAGATACAATCTCAACTTTTGATGTCATCATGGTAGGTTGATGTAGCATTGCAACGAGTAAAGCAATACTCATCCGACTAGATGTATCACTCTGATTTAATATTTTACCGTATTTGCAAATTATTCATCTGTGCCTGTTGTAATGACATGATGACTTAAGATTTTGAAATAAATTGCCACCCATTCATAAATTAGTCAGGATTTGCTCTCCTGATAATGGCTACGTTAGACCACAATTGTAAAGTTGAATTGAAGCATCTGCCCAAGTTGATGGGAGACATGAGACGGTCGACCATTATGAGATATTGCACAAAACAAGCCATGGAAATGATCCTTATAAGGCAAGACTGACCTAGTGTATCGGCTCGTGAGGCACTACATGATCTCATGACCGAGGCCAATTGACCCGGCCCATGACCAATAGCATTAGAGCAAGGTTCCCAAAATGATGTGCAGATGCAATTTGTTAATATGTTTTGATAGAGGTCAAAACCAAGGACAAAGCGTAGTTGACCCCATTAATATTTTCATTTTTCTTTATATACTTGTAATTTTCTAGAGGGATAAGTGCACTCTAAATCATAATAATTATCGTGAAAGTGCATTATAGTAAATTTTTTTTCAAAAGTGCAATTAAATTCTACAATTTGTCAAATTGGTGTAATCAAGCCCTTTCGTTAGCACTATCCATTTTGGCTAATCAAAAATCATAAGTTCCCATTTTTAAATCACTTTTGAAGAGGTATGGCATTAATGTGGTTGTGTTGACACCTGATTTTTGGTCAAATTTTCAATTTTAAATAAAAATCACAAAATTAGGTTTAGGAACCTTGGTCATGCTTGGGAACTTATTTCTAAACAAAAAAAAAATTCTAGATTTTTCTTTAATTTTTCCTTTATTTCTTTTGGTTAAAAATGGGAGGAAAATCAAGAAAAATACCAAATGAAGTCCAAAAATTTCCCAAAAATAGTCACTGGTCTTATTTTAATTCCAATTTCATCCCTGCAGCATCAATTTTACAAAATTTCAATTAGGGATATTTTTTTCCCCAAATTTGGGTAATTTCATATTTTAATTGAACCAAAAATCCAATTAAGTCATTTCTAGGCATTTTTAGGCTGTAGTGTCTTCACAACAATTGATTATGGGACTTTGAATTTCATATTGGTTAGTCCAATTTCACAATTTGACAAAATAATTGAAAAGCCCCAAAAATTAATTGAAAATGAGGGATTGTAGGACCCAAATTGGGGATTTCTTTCAATTTGAAATTTTCGATCAAATTCTATACCTTTCTTAAGGGTAATTGACCATGGGGAATCCAATTTTTTCCTTAGATCAGCAAAATTAGGTCATTTGGATCTTCAATTGAATAACAACCCACTGGAACCGAATTCAAACTTGGGGTTTTTGGACTTAATTGGGATGAAAATTCAAAGTGATCTCACATTTTAAAGTAAAATGTATCAAGGAATTGAAATTTGGGGTCAAAATTGTGAAATGGGACAAAATTGGGTTCAATTTGTAATTTTAAACTAACTCGAGCCTGTCGGGTCGGTCGGATCCAACTCGACTCGACCCGGTTTAGCTTCTTGCTTACCCGACTCAACCTGCACGGGAAAGGGAAGAAAAACTTGAGCTGCCCCGCCCCTTTATCGACCTAGATCTCCCATTCCAGGATGTGCAAAAGAAAATAGGACAGCTGGAGACCTCTAGCTGTTGAATGGGAACTGTTACAATGGATTCCCGAGTCGGTTAGAGGCCAGGAACTGCCCGGAGGAGAGGTCAAAAATAGGCTGGAGAAACAGTTCCGAGCAGAGAACCTGTTCGTGAAAATTCCCGAGAGAGAGAGAGAGAGAGAGAGAGAGAGAGAGAGAGAGAGAGAGAGAGAGAGAGAGAGAGAGAGAGAGAGAGAGAGAGAGAAGGAGTAGAAGTCCCTCAGGTTGAGTGATCGGCACCGTCCCTATAGGAAAGGCGCTGGCGAATCACCTGTTCAGGTGACCTCCTCCCCTGTGCATCCAATGAAAGAGCTGATCGGGAAGGCCTAGAAATCAGCTCCGATCCTCAAATCCAGGACTTTCCTGGCGAAGCCAGGCTTGGAGGTTGATAGAGCAGGTGCCAAAGGACCAAACCGTAGCTCCCCGGAGGTTCATAATTTCCGTTTTGGTCGCCGGCGATGAAGCTTGATTTGTGCATTTTGGATCGTGTTTTTGCATAATCCATGACCTTCGCCGGAGCATCCAAACCTCGCCGGAGTACATTCCCATGGCCAATGGCCGTCCAAGTTAATCCTCTGTGATTCATTTGATGTTTTAATGAATGTTTTGATTGTTAGAATGGATAGTTAGATCAGAATTTGTTATATTAGTAGGATTATTCTGGTTAGAACAGTTTCCGGTTTAGGCTTTTTTAGCTTAGAAATCGTCGGCCGGCAGTGGTTCGGTGGCGGTCCTGTCACGTCCCAACCCGAAATCACGATCGATGCTTAATGACCGAACATGACCCGAACGGAACCGTGACTCGCGGAA